CACGCCCGAATCGCAGCACCCTAAAGAGGAGTAGAGCCCCCCTTAATAGGCATGATCCTTTACCTACATAAATATCTTTGGGTTGTTCCAATCATTTCAAAATAGCAGACTTTTTGTAGCTAAAATTCAATTCTTAATTTCCAACTAATTTCCCTCTTAAATATTAAATGGAATTTTAGGCGTACGTCAAAAAAAAATAAATCAGCGCAGACTCTATTGTTTCAAAACAAAAAAATATATATTCCACACGGCACTCTTTAAATACAAACAAAGTCAAATATTCACGCCATTATGCCATAAAAGTCTGCATTTGGCAGCGCACAATTTTTTTTTTTTTTTATAAATATGCAACATTTTTATGACATTTGGTCTGCCAAGACAATGTTAGCATTTTTTACACTCTTTTCGCATATAAACGTATTTACATAAATAAAATGTAAAAGTATAGCAAATAAAAACTCATACACCTAAACCAAAGAAAAAAAAAACGAATTTTGTTAGCCGCCATGGCGTATGCGCGATTATATTATTTGTAGGTAGGTATGCAATTTTTCTACACTCCCCCATGTGAATTGTGGAACTTTTTCAATTTCATAGCCGCAGTAACAGCAGCTTGGCGCTTGGCGCTTGGCGCTTGGCGCATTCGTATTTAAGTTAGTACTACATATATCATCACTGCGCTGCGGTTGCCAGCCAGCTGGCGCTAACGTCGTAAATTTGTTGCTGGCTGTCGCGAAAATGTTGGTTTTTATTACAATCATTTTTATTATAATTTTCCACATAGCACACATATCGTTTTTTTTTTTCATTTGCTGCATCATCAGCGGGCAGCCAACGCAAATGCGCGATTGTCTGTGTGTTCTTCTGTGTAGCTTCTATTATTTTATAAGTTGATTTTGTAAAATTTTTGCACATTTGCTTCTCTCTTTGCGCAAGCATTGAACTCGATGCGAAATACAATATACATATGTATGTAGTTAGTGTGTACAAATATATATATAAAAAAAAACTATTCACACATTATCAGCGAATTTTGGCTTTTTATTGAGACAAACGCTGAGCGATGACTCGCACTTTATGAACGCATTGTGGTTTTATGGCTGCACTGAATTTGTATGAATACGCGGCTGTGTTACAACTTGGAAGTTATTATATTATACATACACATAGTGCAGATAGCAAAAAGTTAGAAAAGTTCATGTGTGGCTTTTTTGTTGGCATCAAGCTGACAGCACGCAGCACAGCACAGCAGCCATGGGATTTTATAGTTCAGCTTTATCGAAAATTTACTAAAATCATATTGTAATACAGTCATTCAATATAAGTGGAATGCCGCCGGCTATGACTTTGAGAAGAGTTCGGCTGTCGTCAGCAAAATATTTTTAGTTTGTAGTTGATTTTGTAGTTGTTGCTCAAATGGGTCTAAGGAAAAACTTACGGTGCAGTCATTATGGATAAAATTCTACTCATTCGCTTTTTAATCATTCGCTATAGATCTTATACAATTAATTACTTATTGTTGTTTTGTTTGTTTTTCAATAAAGTTGTTTACACAAAATGCGTTTTAATACACTTTTATTGTTTAGCGCTATTTATTTGAGTGCGCATGCCCAGCAATGGAGAATCACTGAAAAAAGTAATGGGTGCAGCAGCAAATATTCTGTGATGCATTTGATATGTCTAATTTGTAATTTGTGTAATTTTAGTTAGACTGTTTAGATATTTTCGGTGACCGCAGGCCTGCGTTCAAGCGCAGTTTCCGACATCAAATAATAAAAAATATCAAAAAGTTCTTTCTGAAAGCGGTATTGCATATAGGTACTTACCGACAGTCTAACAGCAGCGCATGATCCTTTTGTCCAGCGACGGAAATCATTTGATCCATAATGCCACAGGGCATACCAGCAAACTTGTGTTCGGCGGCTTGGCATACTAGGGCGCGTTTCTTATTGCTTAAAAAAATGCAGGAGAAAAATAAATATTTTATTTACTACTCGAATACTTAGTTTATGAAGCTAGCTATGGTAAAGCAAAATTACAAAAAGAAAGAAAAGTTACAGACGGCAGTGTTGCCAGATCGGACGTTTTCCCCCTATACATATTTAGGTTTTTTTGACACCCTAGGAGTAAATTTAGGGAAACCAAATATTTAGGTTGAAGCTTTAGAGGGACGAAAATGCATCTAGGGGAAATTCAAAACGGATTTTTGGGGGAAATCCGTTATCTGCGTAAACGCTTTTATGTATCGAGAGCTTATATTCAATACCCTTTATCTGCTTGTTTCACAAAAACTACTTTGTTATATTACAACCCATCTGGGACATTCCCGTCATCACTGATGTTAATTCTGCCTTTGCAATTTAATAGCAAATTCTTCTGTCAAACATTATACAAGGTCAGCCTTTATATTACCGATAATAGTTTAATGCTTTGGTCCAAATAAAAAATAACAACTAGATTTAGTTTCAAGTTTAAGTGAAATGAAAAATGTAATCCCTCTGAAATGTGTACTCAATAAAAATACACTAGGGGTATTCACGATTCAGCGCATACTGTCTAGCGTGGTGCATAAATAGCATTTACATTTACTATTTACAATTTACATTGAAAAATTAAAATTACAATAAATTCTAAATAACCAAATTTAAAGGTAGGAAAGGGAGATCTAGGGGAAAATGGCATGCCCTTGGGGGTAAACTACTGCAATAACCTGGCAACACTGGCGGACGCATAACAAACTGCCTGCGAGAATTTTGTACATGGTATGCTAAGCAGGATTGCATACATTTAAAATTTTGTACGCCGTGTATAAATACGCATTTCTACTAAATTTTTGACTACTAATTTACTCACCTCTCCAGTTGTTTGCCGGTCAACTGTTCCAGGAAGGTCAAAGTCGCCATTTCAACTGCTGCACTCGAAGACAAACCGCCACCCACTGGTACATTGGATGCAAATACTGCATTGAAGCCAGGCAACTGACCCTCCAACTTCAGTTCGTTGGCAAAATAATGAATAACACCTTTCACATAGTTTGCCCATCTGAAAAGAAAAAGTTGAAGAACAACTAAGTTAGTATGCTGAAGTGTCAAATTAGTTAGTGTTTAAGTAAGCGCTAGTGTACATAAAAGAAGGAATTTTTATTTGTGGCAGCATCATAGTATTCGACCGAAATAAGTTCATCTCTTCACTAGCTTTGCTTTGTCCACATTGCACTTAACCAAAACGTTACAGGTGAAAATTTGCCGTAAGCCCTTAATGAACGCTCTAACCTTTGCCATTCACATTTCTGGACTACTTTGCATGGAAATACACAATGGTTATATAGTCATGCATGCACACACATACAAATCACATACAAATCACATTGCGTAAACTACTTTGAGTTCATATTTTCATTTCCTTTGTGGCCTTACAGTTGAGTTGTTGGACTTTTGAAAGGAGCTCGTGTGCACGTGTGTAGGCACTATGGGTGTAGATGTGCATGCACAACCAATTTCGCTTCTATAAGAGGGCTGCCAGATATCCCCAGGTTTTTGCCTCCGTTTATAAACAAGGCAAGATGCGGATATGTATACTGTTTTTCTATATAAGATAATTTTCCAAAGTCATTTTCATCTTCATTTGTGTCGTGAATGAAAAAACTTTATTATCGCTTAATAGGCAAACATTTCTCGTTTCACTAGGTTGTATTGAAACTCTTATTTTCATCTTTATTGGCGCTGTAACCGCTTAAGCGATTTTGGCCGAGCCCAAATCAGCACGCCAGTAGTTTCTCTTCTGTGCCAAGTGACTCCAAATGGCAATACCAAGTGAAGCCAAGTCCTTCTCCATTAGCTCTTTCCAACGCAGAGGAGGCCTCCCTCTTCCGGAATGTTTTTGTCCACTCGAACATGACCTAGCCAGCGGAACCGCTGTATCTTAATTCGCTGCACTTTATCAACATAATTGTAAAGCTTAAATAGCTCATCGGTAAATCGTTTGCCTTATTCGCCATCTCTAACGCGTAGAGGCCCGAAAATCGTTCGCGTAATCTTTCTCTCGAAAACTCGGAAGAGCCGCTTCATGAGATGTGTTCGTTGCACATGTCTCCCAGGCATACACCAGAACAGGCATTATGGACGACTAATAGACTGTGATTTTGTACAACGAGGTAGGACTTTACTTCTCAGATGCCTACTCAGTCCTAAGTAGCACTTGTTGGCATGGTTGTGATTCTCTCCATACTCCAGAAATTGTAAGCTCTTGCAAAGTATTGTGCCTGAGCGGTTCAGTCCAGAAACTCTTATTATCTTCTTCAATATCAGATTAAATATTCACATGAAATGGCGTAAACTTATCTGATACTTCGTTTGGTATCAAATGGCTCGAGGAGGTAATTGCTAATTCTGAAAGGGGCTGATGAAGCTGTATTTAAGACATTTTCACCGAATTCTTCTGGTTTTGAGTGATACAATTCTGGCAGCTCTATTCTATACGCATACCAGTGCATTTGTCTTTCAGTTGACTTGTTTATTTGTTTGCTTGCTGGACAGCCGGTCTCCTATGCCAATCGCTTGACAGTAGATATACGAGTATCTTAGGTTAGTCTGCAGACGAGTTAGCAAGTAGACAAGCAACATCACTCATCAAGTAGTTACTCATTGCTGACGGTGTACATGTGTTGAGTGCAAATTGTTGATGCTTGCTGCGAGAGCTACGATACTATTTTACCCACAAATACCTGACCTAGGTTAAATACCTAGGTTTGTACTTGTCTGTGGGACAAGTAGCCATTGCTGCATTGGAGTTGATAAGCAACAAACAACTTGACGGAATCACATATGATTTGTTGAACAATGCTGGCGAAAATTAACTTAAAACTTATGCACCAAAATTTTTGAGTATTTTTCCATTGTTTTTGTGCATGGCAACAAAATCTTGCTCTAAATTTAATATATATGTAAATACAGGTGGAATTGTGACGGTATATTGTTTTGAATTGCCTTCTCAAGCGACGTGAAAATTACAGGGTATTAGCTATTTAATATGAAAAAGAAATAAAATATGTAATAATACTTTATTTCTGCTGTAGATCTGTTTTTTTATGAGCGAGTTAAGTTATTGCTTAGTACTCCTACCATGGCATATACGATACTTTTAGGGAGTAGAAAGAAACATTCTTCTCTCAACTCGCATATTATCTGATAGGCGTGCGGCGAGCAAAATACTTAAACTTTATAGGTCTACAATTGTCCACAAAAGAGTAGAAGTGCGATATTTTGACCATTATGGACTATTTGCCTTTTACTGTTTGAATGCTTATTATATTTTATAAACGTCTAGCTGGTTATACCACAAACACCCTACAAACTAACATTTTAACCTTTGTACAAAACCTATAAAAACTCTGCAGACCACAATGGTATATGAACTGGCACGGAAGGGGTCCTGAAAGATATTACGAGACATCAATTTGGTAGGAGAATATCTGGCGAGCTTTCTAGAACTGCTTTGACACATAGTCGGTGTTAACACGGGCAACTGCTTGATGGGGACGCATGTCATTAAAATGGGTCTGCAGTCGAATGACTTCTAACGTAGTTGTCGCGAAATACCCGACGACATTACTTCCATCACTACTCTCTTACAGTGATGCTAGATTGTGGCTAATTTCCCTATTTGAGGGATATTTTGCCACAAAAATTATTAAAAGGGACATTTTGAATAAAAAAGGGATCTTCTTTTGACACATTGACCAATGCATAATTGATAAAAATTCAAGAATATTCCACATTCTAATGTAATTAATCGTTCTGAAGATGTGATGTGGAGTGAAATGATATATAATTATTAAAAAGTATAAGGACAATTTTGAAAATTTTCTCACGTCAACCAATTCAAGTGATGTGTAAAAAAGAATATTTTCAATTAAAACTTGTGTTTCATGTAAAAAGCGGAATAAGTTATCTGATGTATGTGCTTCAATTTTAAAGCCCCCAAAAAAATCATATTTGCTTAAACAATGCAAATAATTTGTAACAGTGCTAATTTTAAGAATCACCAATAAGTATACAACAATAAAAAAATCAAATATATGTATGCATTAGTTTCCTTAATATGGAAAACGTTTTTTTCAAAATCTTGGGTTGTAATAAACACCGAAGCTAATTTATGAAAGATGGTCAAGGCAACATCGCAAAAAAAATTTAGAACAAAGCTTTTTTCTTAACATCGGTCGCCCCTCGGCAGGCAATGGCAAACCTCCGAATGTATTTCCACCATGGAAGAAAGCTTCTCATAAAAATACACTCACCGTTCGGAGCCGGCGTAAAACTCTAGGTCCCTGCCACAAATCGGAGGAGAAGCTCGTCCAAACACTAACATATACATATATGTAAGTGCCAATCTATTATTATTATTTTTTATGAATGTTACTTCTTTACTACTGAAATATGCATTGTTTTGAATTCTTTGGGAATTTTGTGGGATAAAGTTTTGAGATGTGGGTAATAGAGGGATTTTTTCCCTATTTTTGTGGGAAAAGAACCATATACATATAGTATACATATAATTTCGGGTATGCAGCTTTGTAGGACATAAAATTTTAGTATAACTAAGTGGAAGTTTCAAGTTTCTAAAAAAGTGCCACGCAGTTTTCTAATTATATTCTAAAAAAGCAACGCGAATTTTTAGCAACTTAAAACTTAAAACTAAAATTGAATGGCCTACAAAACTGTATACTCGAAATTATTCTAGAGATTCTAATTAAAAAGTTGTAAATTTGAATGCAACATTTTTGAGACATTTTGGTCCGCCATTTTGAAACAAACAAAAAATAGTAATTCTGAGAAAATTTGAGATGAAAGTAAATATGTCAAACATAGTCTGCCCAAAGTTTGGTAAAACTGAGAATTCCCGTTTCGGAGATATTTAGGTGGCCGGTACAACTTATCTGGGCTCAAATTTGTATGCAATTAAACACTAACTTAAACACCAAAGAGAGGTTTTACTTTAGACAAAATCTAAGCCGCAAATATTGCAGACACTACCACTCACACAAAACATAGTTATCTTTAATTTACTAGGCTTTTAACATGTAGTATATTTTTCATCAAAATAATGAAGAGGAGAGTAGAAGTTGCGCGCAAAAGAATGAATAAATTTGTTATTGTGTGTTTAAAGCAGCAAAATATAAGGGAAGCATTTTAAGGTAGTATACATACATAGTAAGTACAAGTATATACAAATACTTATTTATTTATCTACACCGACAAATTTACAAAATGCACGCAGATGCAAGACTGTATAGTATAGTTTTTGAAAATCCTTTATCGTTGCTTATCCAATGAAATGCTGGATTGGTTCAAAAAACCACATTTTCCTCTGACAGTTCACAACTCCACTTCACAAATGTGGTTGGACTTACATTTGCATGCCCACACCTCTTTTGGATACTTTTCTCTGTATATTGCACTCGAATATTAGATTTCTTTTTCTTATTTTTTGTTCGCTTTTCGTACGCAGCGATAATATCATTTGAGCAAGTAACTACTAGGTGGACATGTAGCTATTTTTTGGCACTAGATACGAAAGTGCATGGGCGCCAGCAGCAATTTGCGAAGTTCCTAGAAAAGTGTAACTCGATGCCAGTATGCAAGGTGAATAAATAGAGTAGATGAGAAGGTTATAGACTGCTTAAGCATAATGAGAATAGGTGTGAAAGATTGAGTTAACTAACCGCCCAATACATATACATACACATAATTTTAGCGTATACTTAACCACCAACAACTGACAGATAACTACCAAGAAATTTTTGATGCTGCAAAATAGACAAGCTTTCGCTACTCGTCTTCTTTACATACTCGCAGTAACCAGTTAAAATAGTACTGTAAGGAAAATCTCACGTTCTGAAATGGCACAAAAAACGCCGACGCCTGAACACGTTAACTAAATATTGGGTCGTAGATTATATATCTGTGTACCGTTTTTTTCAGATCAGGTCACTTTCTCAAGATATAAATTAAAAATCAGAAATAACTGTTATTTAAGGAGTATCTAATTAAATAAAAGTCAAAAAATAATTGTTGAAGAGCGATTTTTATAATAAAAGTTAAAACTGTTACGGTCTCTGGCTTGCATCCATTATTAAGTCTATCTAACTAGTCGAAATAACGAAGGCATGCATATATAGACAAAAATCCTTCTAAGCTACAACATTCAGCCACATGAAACTTCTGCTAAGTACATATCGATGGCTGAGTGGAAGATCGACCTATCTCGGCAGCCAGTTCGAACCCTTTGACACAATTAATTATCTGTAGCTACTTACTTTGGCGCTTCCGGTTTCAAATCGAGTAGCGAAAATTCCACATGCTTTGGGTCATCACATCCACCACAGTGCGTAAACACTGAAGCCTTAGTGTCCGTGCGACGGCCGCCAACGATCAGTGTGACCATAGGCAGCGCCTAAGGGCAGGCAAGAAAAGAAAAAATATCTGCGTAAGAGCAAGAAACTACGATATAATAATAAAAGGCAAGCAATTCAAGAAAAAAGGCTAGCGAATCGTCAATTTAAGGCTTTAGCTACAAAAGAGCAAAAAAATATTTTTTATTTTTCTTCTTTTTCTCTACATTTAACGCTCAATTTTCTAATTAGTAGTTTTTCACCGCTACTGAATACCTTTTTCACTCTCTTTTTGTTCGCCTTTATCCGTTTGCTCTAAATTTTTTCATGTAGCTGGTTTAATTAGGATTTTAGTTTTTTCCTGCATTTTTTTACTTACCATTGGCAGGACAAAACCGTCATTGTAGTCGATATGTTCACCAATCAAATTAACACGTCCTGGTGCACAGCAGGCCAGTTCTGGATCAGCGCCAAAAATTTCATGATATGTCGATTTGGCCAATGCCAAAATTTCTTCAAACGTGGCTAGTTTGGTGACGGCAGGCATTATTATTGTCTCAGTTTACTTGTTACTTGTAGAATGTGCAATGCTGGGGTTAATATTCAGCAGCTAGTGATTGCTGATTGCTGCTAATTAGTGGCACGTAGAAACACGAGGAGATTGAGTAATTAGACTTGCTTTTCTGATAGACTAACTGTGTACCACTTTTTTGGATAATTACTGCAAAAAAATAATTAAAGTAAAGAATTGTCTTATGCTTGTTTGAATATAAAATAGTCTGATATTTGCTTTGCGTGTTTTTTCTTTGGTAAAAAGTATCATTTAGATTGGTTAGGTTGCGCGTTAAAACACGTTAAAAAAGCAACGGTAACCCTCTTGGACACAGCTGGGAACTGTCCCCAAGCCTAATGTACTGGCCTTACGCAGTAGTTGTTAAGCCTATTCTGCTTTATGCGATATTGAAATGGTGACCAGGTCTCAGCAAAGCTACAACTGAAGCACTTCAAAAGGTGGAAATAACTACGTTGCTCTGCATGTTCGGCGCTTTTCTCACAACTCCATTAGTGATAATGTGCGTCTTACCCAATATTTTGCCAATCAACATTGTTTTAAAACAGTTAACAGGCTGGAGAGACATTCAGGATGGCCACACCGCAATCTTAAAGAACATAGATATACCGGGCACAGATTACTGTGTACCAAGTCTTAACTTCATAAAGAGGTATGGGATCACTCCACTTCTACAAAGATGGTTGTAAACTTGAGGGCAAGGTAGAATGAGGGACTGTGCAGCGTCTTCCAAGCTGCATATGTAGCAATATCTTCATCTACTAAGACAGTCAGGCGTTACTAGAAGCGCTTGACTCGGTCACATGCACCTCTGAACTAGAGGGCTGACCAGTATGCTCTCCACATGGTGTGGGTTCCGAGGCCGGTCAAGGCGGGCGAACTTGCAAGAAAGAGCATACCCCTCCTATTAAGCCACCCTGAAAGGGAACGGAAGCAAGGAACAGGTGGAATAGTCTCACAACTTGCAACGACATAAACTTATGTGGCCGAAATGGAACGAGAAGCGGCCGAAAGGTCTCCCCATGCTGAGCGGAGGGGGCTTAGCCGCAGCCATGGGACTACTAGGAGGTCATGTTGCCATTGGAAGGCACGCATAGAGGCTAGGGGTTGCACCCAACGACTTCTGCAGAAGCTGCAGAGATGAAAAAAGCAAGGAACTTTACGGAACCTGATATGTGAATGCTCGCGCTTGGAAAAAAAGACGAAAGTTCTTGGGCTCAGAATTCTTCGATGGTTGAACCGACATAGCCGAAGTATGAAAACGGCAACATTTGAGTTTCGCAGACTTCATACGATATGTCGCGACGGTTTAAGTAGGGCGGTTCTAACGTCCCGCGTGGTATCACAAAGGGGCCTAAAAATAGTTAAGGCCCAAGTGTGCTACCGAGTAGCCTAGTGCTCTTCTTCTGAGGTGATCCTTTTAGCTAATTTAGTTGGACCTAATGTCCCGCCAGCAGAGCTATTCAAGTACGGCAAAAAGTTGTTGATAATATGCAGGCATCAACTATTATAAATAATATGGCGTGTGCTCTGCCCAATCAACAAAAAAGCGATCGTTCCAAATGCGCTAACTACCGTGAGTTCCGTCCCCGAATTGTATGAAAGACTGAAGCCTACCATTACCTTATCAATGCGGCGGAGATCCGGTATTTATAACACGTCAAATACTGAAAACGACACGCGGAAAGAGGATTGAGACACAACGTCTATTTGGCGATTTCAAAGTCGCCTTCGACAGCAAGACAAGGAGTTGTATTTATGCCATAAAGTCTGAGTTTGTTATCCAGCAAAACTAATAACAATAATAAGTGTTTGGCCGAGCTTCTCCTCCAATTTATGCTATACGTCTTGATGTCGTTACGCAAATGCCGAAAGGCAAAGAGATTTTATAAAAAGCTTTTTGAAATACGATGGTATGAGATTTACTTCGGGTCCCACACTGACGGGATGTATGGCTTTCGCTGCTTCCTTCTCGTTAAAAAAAAAAAACTCACATAACTGTTGGCCTTTATGATTTCGAAAAGTAGACAACTGAGAAGTAGAGCGCTCCCAATAATATATATGTATAAGTCCGTTAAATGACAACATCCGATGAGGCGCGCCTTGGAGAGTTCGAGAGAAAGGTTCTGCGAAAGACTGGCGTGTAAATATTAGTTACAGCACCGATCGAGAAGAAAAAAACTCAAACAAAAAAGTTCAAGTTCGTAGCATACGCCCCATTTTCACATTAGATCTCATAAATCGCATATAAAGAGTACTGTTAAAATTTTGGATTAAAACATATCAAGATATTCTGTGAGTCTAGGAAAAATTGTCTATAAAGATTTAATATTTTACAATCAAGAATGAATTTCGTGGTTTACTTATTTTCGTTTTAGCGTCACTAATTCATATAAAATATGAGCAGAAACTAATTTCATTTAAAGAAATGCAGAATATAAACCTTAACTGTTGGCATCATTAGAACGCATAAGATAAAGCTTTTGTTGCATATTTCTAAACGCAGTATATTGATGCGGATATTGAACACACCGCTGTTATAAAACCCCATGAAACAAACTGTTAAATAATGGATTGCCGTCGGGTTCTAAGCTATGCTTAAACCTTCCAGTTTGAATTGATTTCAAACATTGTACTGAAATCCGGATAAACAAAAAAGCGAGTTTATATGAGCGTGGTAATAAGACATCTCAATGAGCTTTTTCTTGAAGCAAGTAAGCATAAGATTACAAAAATAAAAACTTTATCCTCCTTTTATAGCATTTTTTAATTTGTATCGTTTATTTAAAAAAAAATAAATAAAAAATCAAGCAAAAAGTGCAAAAATTAAAGCACAAGTTTCCTGATTCACAAAAAAATTAGGCTGTTCATAAATTTGTTCGCTTAGGCTCAGTAGCTGCATTATTCACCGTACTTTAACCAACGCAACGTTTCGCTCTGTTTACACATGAGCAGAGATCAGCGAACGCTAACAAAGCAAACGACCACCACCCAACGCCAGAAACTTTTCAAATAAAAGTCTCAAAAGTGTTTTAAAGGCATCATAAAAATAATAAAAATTAAAATAGAAGTAACTAAAAAGTAACTTTAATGCAAACGTGTCGACGCACATAAAACAATTACGCAAAAAGGCAATAAAACCAAGAAGATAAAATCGCGAAGGCAAAGTAATTTAATCACACACACATGAAGTCTTTTATGACTTTCCGGTTCATCCTGCACTTTAACGGACTCTTGTAAGGGTAAATTGAAAGTTTTCTTCGTTTATTTAAAAGGCAAGGTTTAGTTTAGAAGATTGCAAGTCGTACATTTCAATATGGAATATGTATGTAGGTACATATGTTCACAGAAATATGAGTGATTTAGTTTTGTTTTCGTATAATAGTCTCACGAAATCAAGTCAATATGGGTATATACATATATCGGTTGTCATATGGAATAGTAGCTTAAGTCGGGAGACTGGCTTTAGTATAATGTACATATTACAAGGGCCAGCAATACGCTACCTAAAGGCGAAAAGGTGCCAAGTCCAATTTTTTTTTTTTATTTAGTTTTTGATGCAGAATGACAGATAATAAGAGACAACCTATTTTTAGTCACTTCTGAACAATTTCAAAAAAATTGACTTGTCACCTTTTTACGTTTAGGTAATGAATACTAACTAATAGTTCTCTATCTACATATATCCTTTTTCTTTTTTATCAGTATCCTCATCCTCATCTTTTTCCTCATGTTTAACTTTATTTTTACCTTTTTTTCATTACTTGCTTCATCTACACTTGCCCCGTTACCTTTGTCGTAAAGAGATTAAATTTACCTTGATCTTCATTTTCGCATTTAAGACCTGAGACATTCTGAACAACTGAGCAAAGAAATTTTGCCGAAAAGAAAAAACAATCAGATAAAAGTTAGAAGCCATCAAAGAGGGCATACCTTAAAAATTCCCGTGGAGGCAAAATTTACAAAACAAAATGTTTATGAAGACATGCAGAAGACTTAAAAATCAATGTTGCAGTTCGATTCCTCATGCCCGAAATAGAGTAAAACCTTTCTCTCCGACAATTGGTATTTTTGCGGCTATGTATAACATTTGAAACGAGTAAATTTAAGAAATTTTTTTTCAACCTAAATATTCTCCTCATGCATATGTACTAATAACATTTCTACCAGGTGGTTTGGTTTCCTTATCTTATGCGGTGTTAAGCAATCCCTAATTGAGTGAAAAACAAAATCTGCAAATAAGATATGTTATATGGAGATACGACACTCTATTTACTGCAACGCAAATCCAAATAATAGCATCCGGCGATTGGGTAACGTAGTATAGTGATCTTGTTATTGTTGCAGCTTCTTTTTTCACCAAATAACTACCTCATGAAGCAACTACATTTGTATGACATATGTATGTATATATGCAGTACTCTGACAACGTAACATCCCTGCAAAAAATTTGCGACTAATCTCTAAAGAGAGTATTCCGCGATTCCTCTCAATCGGTTACAATTGGGCATTAATTAGTCCCAACTAGTCTCATACGAGTACTAATGGAGGTCAATTAATCTCGACTCATCCCTTGTGGGTATAATTGGAGATCAATTAGTCCCCAACTCATCTCTAACGGGTACTAACGGGTGATTTTTTTGAGGTTAGGATTTTCATGCATTAGTATTTGACAGATCACGTGGGATTTCAGACATGGTGTCAAAGAGAAAGATGCTCAGTATGCTTTGACATTTCATCATGAATAGACTTACTAA